TTCTTGCCGTCACTTTATTTGCCGGCTTATATACTATAAAAGCGTACATCTCGTCTCTTCTTGAATCTTCTAGATATTCATCACGTGTTACTAGCGTTACGTGACTTCCGCTGTCGTAACAATATGTAATCTAGTGTATCTTGTACATATGTATATATATTCTGTAAAGAGTTCATTCAGTATTGCTAATTTAGCCTTGTTTTCATAAAGGGCTTATTTTATCTTGCCTTAATGTCAAAGGGTTTAACACAGCATTATTTTATTTTGTATTTCTGATTTTGTGCAAATAGTTATTTTACATTTAGTATGTCATTGAATTTAATTTCAAAAGGTATGCTGTATTTTACATTCTTAACTTGATATTAAATAGTTTGTTTTATTTCATTTTGATGCTGAAGGGTTTGTTTCATTTTTATACGCCATGAAAAAGACGTGTTTTACTTTTTATTGGTTTCGTTTAGGGGTTTTTATTTTGTCTTATTTGCTGAGGGGTTGTTGCTGTGTTTTATTTAGTTCTAATTTCATGTTTAGCTTGACCTTATACATCATTGTTTTGCAAACTTGTATTTCTTGTTCATTTGTTCGTCATGATGTGTAAGTGTTTTACATGAGCGTTAGTAAGTTACTGTAATTTATTGACCAAAAAGTAGGGTGTTTTAATTAATTCTAAATTTTAAAGTTAGGCATGGCCTGAAGGTAAGGAGGAGAGAAAAGGTGTAGTATACAAGCATATTGCTTTTTTACCCCTTATTTAATATAGTTCTTCTTTCAAAATTTTCGTGCATATGGTGTATATAGTTTTACTCTAGAATATCAGTTAAGGAAATAGCCAAGTTATGTTTGACCTACTTACCTATTATACTTGATTATTCAGTTAGGGCATCACATGTACTTGCTCATTGGAAAAATCTTTGTAAAGTTGAACGGTAGAAGTGAACGGTAATCAATGGCAGGTCGGGTGATACCTTAATGAAACAATCCCCCTTATTTTTCGATGAAAGTGACTAACATTCAAATATGTGGCACACGCGACCTGAGAGGAATAGTATTTTTGTTTCGTGCATACAATGCTACGTTTTCCTAATCTAGAACAACATACTTCTTCTACTACTACTTCTTTTGTAAGAGTTTTTTTTTCCAATAAGGGTGCCATAAACACTCTCATTTTTACTTTGATTGTTATTTATTTGAATAAAGACTGTTTCACTGTGTTTTACATTGTGCCCTGTCTCTTTCTTTCTTTGTTCCAAACTCTTTCGAGGTCAGATAATTCAGATAATTCAGATATATTCTTTTACACGTTTTGTTGAAATCTCCTGTGGATCCTACCCGATTGCTATTATTGGAAATCAGTGCACCTGAGAATAAGGTGAATAAGGTTGGGGTGGAATTGGCTATGAAGTTACCGTATTTTTTGGAATATGAGACGCACCCTTATTTTGAAGACTAAAGTTTTGTAGGAAAAAAATGACTACAGTCGCATTTAGAAAGTATTTTTATTGTAAACTAAAAAATTAC